AACTTAGAGGTGCTAATAGTCAAAAGCAAAAAACTGTTGTGACCTGAGATTTATGACAATTAAAAGGGAGATAAAGCTGTGCTCTACAAGCCTGGCACTGTGGCCCACATTTATCTGTAAGCCCAGCATTCTCGAAGGCTGAGACAGGAGGATCCCAAGTTCAAGACCAGCCTGGGCAACTCAGTAACTTATCAAGACCCTGTCTCAAAATAAAAATTAAAAGTAAAAAAAGACTATGAACGTAACTCAGTTCAATCCTCAATAGCACACACGCACACACGATGGGTTCTACACAGTTTTTAAACTTTAAAGAGTAAAGGGAGCCACTTAAAATCTAATCTTTTTTGATGTTGCACTCCCAAAATGAAATTAAAATGTATCAATTTTTAAAATTAACATTTAGCAGTTATCCTACTCCAAGGCAGCTATTTTGAAAGCCACATCTGAGACAGACTTTAGCAGATAACTTGCAGAAGATAAAAAGAAGAGAGTGATATTTTTTTTTTCTTCTTTAAAATTTGCATTCTACTCTTCTCCCCACTCCCAGTCAGCTGGGAAACATTCCCAGATCCTGTTCCAGCTTAGTTTGGAAGTAAAGCTCAACCTTAATAAACAGTCAGCCCAGGAAATGCTTGGGATCACAGACCACTTAGAATACTGGGTTTGCTCTTTCCCAGGAGGTCTCCTTTTTTCAAACTCCATTTAAGAGGTGCTTGGCAGCTCTGGATCTTCACTCAAACTTCCTGAGGCATTGCTGAGAAACAGAACTGTAGCCCTGCACCCAAGACAAGCTTCTCAAACTCCAGGGAAGTCAATGTGCAGACAGCGCCCACAGAATTCCTCACAGGAACCAGGGACACTGGACCTACTAAAGACAACCAGAACAATCTAGTTTTAGTGTATCTAAAATGTTAGGTGTCCTTGCCTCTGCACTGGTAAGAAGCTGACTCAATCACACTGACATCAATCACACTACTGCCAAGCACTTCTTTTACATAATCATAATTTCATGTCACTTATCCAGTGTCTCTTGGACAACCATCGGTGTTGTATTAAGGTACTGCGCAAAATGTCTCTAAGATCCAGCAATTATTTATACTAAAAAATCCTTTTAAACTTGGTTCATGTGTTCACAGGCTGATTAAGCAGAACCACAAACTGCTCTATCTCAGAGTGATGGTGGTAATGATGAAACTAAATGGATCATAAAGCAAAGTTCCTTCACGGAGACGGGATGGTGCTGAAGGCCGAGGAATTGGACAAACAGCAATATAGAGCAGGGACTGCCTAAAACAGGAACTTTGAAATTCTGGGAAGTCACTAAAGCTTTTTTTTTTTTTTTTTTTAGTGAAACTGCAATTACAGAGCAACATTTTAAAAACACATTGGCAATAAATGATAACAAGGAAGTTTATTCTGATTTTTAGTAAATAATCAATAGGAGTGTAGGCTAAGTTTAAACGAAAATAAAAATATGAGGTTGGTAGAAGGGAAATTTGAGCAGAACCAATATTCTTTTCCTTTTATATTACCACTCATCTGTGTCCCAATAAAGCTAGACCCATTTCCCTCCCACATAACTCTTGCACTGATTACTTCCTGAGAAAGTCTTGGGATCTCCTAACTGAACAATGGCATGGAGGTGCACAGATGTAATCCCAGAACTGTGGGAGGATGAAGGAAGATTGCAAATTCAAGCCCTCCCTGAGCAACTCAGCAAGTAGTTCTCTTAAAAAATAAAAAAGAATGGGGCTGTAGCTCAGTGTGAAGGCCCTGGGTTCAATTCCCAGTACTACAACAAAAGTAACAACAACAAAAATCAGAAACAAACTTTACTCCAATTTAAAAGTAAGAAGCCAAATAACTTTACCAAACACTTCAACTTGAGTCCACTTACAAAATACTCTTGGCCCAGCCTTGGCCACTCAGCCCCTGTGGGCAGTGGGTATCAGCTGGAAGCCAAGTTACTTCATCCAAGCGTTGCGACAACTTGATGACACAGAGGTTGTCTGAGGCTTAAAGATGAACCTCGTGATTTGCCCAAGGCCACTGGTATGTGGTGGAACTGGGCTGGCTGACTTCACTGCAGGGATGTCTCCAAAATGGGGACACGAATAATAGTTATTCATGAGTTTACTGAGAGGGAAATACAACTCTTGAGAAGTACTTAGCATACTTCTTGCCTGGCAAAGAATAAACATCTCAACAATTGAAGAATATCTTTATTATTGTTGCTCAAAGTTATCCAGCTACTGAGCAGGAAAACTAGAATGGGAAGCAGGTTATCCGCACTCTACAACCTATTCTATAACCAACATGTTCACCTTGGAATAGTTTAGTTTGTGAGCCTGACCTTATTTCCATCAAGAGGCCAAAGGACAGAACAGGCACTACACAAGAATTTTTCTTTTCTTTTGAGGTACTGGCATCCCAGCCCTTTTTAAAAAATTATTATTTTTTAGACAGGGTGTCTCTACATGGGTAAACTGCCAAGGCTGGGCTGGAACTTGCAATCCTCTTGTCTCTGCCTCCCTGAGCACTGGGATTATAGGTAGTCACCACAACACCTGGCTCCAATCCTGAAGCTTTGAAAGCAACCCTTAACAGCACTTCATTCTAGAGCATTTCTGGAAAGACAGTAAGCTGGGGGTGTGAGGAAAACACAGCTCCAGCGTAAGTTACTCAGGGCAGAATCAAGGGAAAGGAAAATGGAAAGAAGCTTCCCCAGGCTGTGCTTCCCCACCCTAAGCACATCCTCCTGTGCCCTTTCGGTCTGACCTACCTTGCCCACAGGACCTAACGTTGAACTTAAGTAGGTCCAGTGTCAAAATGAAAAAAAGGAAGAAAAATCACAGCACAAACAGCAACTCCCCATTAATGGAAGAAGGAGCCATAGTTGGGCTCCATTCAGTACTTCTAACAAGATTTAAAGGAAAGCAAGTTACAATAAACCAGGAGGATACTCAAGTGAGTACCTCAGAGGAAGGAGCAGTTGCACTTTCCTCCAAGGGTCGGCAACATTTCATCTGGCTGTGCAGTGTCCCTCAATACTTAAAACACTGACTTTGCTGGTGGACACTTATCCTGTGTAGTTAGTTGGGACAGCTTTCAAGGGCCAAATAAGAATCCAGGGTTAACTTTCTAATGATGCACAGAATGGGTAAACAGCACGATTTCCATCCTCTGGTCTCCCTATCCCCTTCATTACACCCAGTATACTACTTGGCAGACCGCTAAGCACATAGTCATTAGTCAATAAATATATTTTAAAACAAACTTTATAAGCCACATAGTCTAACCTTAGTCTCAATAATGGAGTAGTTGTAAAACAGCCCCTAAGAAATGATCACCAAGCATGGTTGCTTAAAAAAGCGATAGTGTAAGCAAAGTAACACAATACTTACTACTTTTTAAGGGGACTCATGGTCCTTCATTGGACAGCATTCTGTCACTAAATTCATTTCCAAACAACAGCAGTGATCATCACGTCTCTCGCTTGCTAAGCACAGACCCTGTGAACCCTTCCCAACAGTTTCAACTGCTAGATGGCAGCAGTGCCAGGATCAGAACCCACGCCACATGCTACTTCACTTATGGGGCCTCACACTACCCTCTGCTACCACACTCCAGGGCAGACCACTTGACCTTTCACAGATGCCACGTGCCTGCCCTTCACTCCACCTGCCCACACGGCTTCCTCCCTTCAAAAACTGCTGCACTCTTGCTCCATGCAGTCCTTGCTTGTGCCATCAGTGCAGACCCTTTGACCATCCAAATCCTTTCAACACTCCTTCAAATCTGGCCTCCCAAACGAGTACTTAAGACTTCGTACACCCACAAGGAGCTCCCCTTCCCATGTGGCAGTTTTTATTGTCACTTAACTGCTTCTAGTGACTATCTTACTTCCCACCCCTGTGAAGTCCTGCTGGAGCCTGTTATCTTTTCTCTATACTCTTTCTATTCTGTGATACTAATTACTGTGTATCATGCTCAATAATGAGTACAGCTAGTATCTATGGCTTTGGTGTTTATCTTCTTGGAGAAATAACTTGCCTAGAAAATTAACATCAAATTCTAATGCAAAAATCATCAGCGATAATGTTAACCAAGCCTCATTAAAGTAATGAAGTGCTTATTTTTCCTTTATATCTTCCAATAAGTACATAATCTCCTTTAAAAACTATGCATATCTATTTGTGTGGTAACACTTTAGAGGTAGGGTTCATTTAGCCAGTATTTTATTCTTTAATTAGATGTCCTTTTGTTCTTTAACAATCATCAGATCATCTCAACTGGGTTCATTTAAAGTGTTATACAATTCACAGTTGTTAAAAAATAGTTGTTAAAATGGAACTGTACCAGTCAGGAGAGTCTGAGATGACGGAGAAATAAATTACCTTAACAAGGGCTTAATCCCTGCCAAAAGCCACGTTCAGTATAGGCTGGGGGGCGGGGGGGGGGGCGGTCCTTAGTTCCATATAATCATTTGGGACTCAGGCAGCAAGAGGCCCTGGCACATGCCATACAGCTTCAGTATGCTCTGTGGCAGAGTGGAAGCCTTTACCTCGGCCCTGAAGTAGGACAAGCAGCTCTCGACCACAAGGCAGCCAGGAAATGGTGAAGAGCATGTGGCAGGCACTGAGGAGCCAATGTCAGCCCCACAGGCAGCCTGGGACGCAGGAAACCCAAAGGATCCCTAGTCTACAAAATGTGAAAGAGGAAGGTTCACAATAGCACACAGGAAGTATACTATCAATTGTATTAAAAGCAAAAGAGAGGGAAGGAGAAAGCACGAAAGGAGAGAACACGGAAATCTCCAGAAGAGCACCGGAAAAACTGGCAAATCTGCAGTGAGAACAGCTGCTTCTTTAGAGGCAAGCTGGTGACAAGGGACAGGGAAGAAGGCAGGCTTATTTTTAATAAGATGTCCCTTTATATCACATGCATGAGTTATCTATTTAAAAACACAACTAAAATAACTTGTAGGCTACGAGGGATACCTTTCAAATTAATGAGTTTCTCTTTTCTGAATGAAGTTCCATCTATTCCAGTAGAAGAAACACCAAATCCTTGACTCATCTTGTTTGAAACTGAACACGTGCAGTGAGAGTGACAGTGGTGTCCCTGCTGGGAGGTCCAGGACCAGCTTCTGTCTGTTCTACACAGATGCAGTTCTACTGTGCAGGTGGGGCAAAAAAGACTAAAGTTGGTTAACCATCTCCAGAGGAGAATTATTTTCCTTATATTTCAATTCATATATTATTTTCAAAAACAAAGCTTTTCTAAAATAAAAAGGTGTTTTACAGTAAAGCTGAACCCTAAATAGAATACAAGAAATACACACTCCTGGGTTTCCAAAAAAGAAAAGCTGCTGCTTTACAATGCATTAAAACATGCAGTACACAGGGATACAGTCTTTTACACAGTGGTGATCAACACCCTCAAATACAAGTGCTTTTGTGCCAGATATGCTGCAAGGTGGGAGGCAGCCTCTGAGTTTGTGACAAGGTAACCCAACGGCACATCTGCTCCTCTCATGTGTTTATCTTAAAGCAGCTGATGAGGTAAGCCATAAATAATGCAATAACAAAACAAGTCAAGCCCCTCAAAAGACTTGCATAGTTCATTGCAATATTAATATTAAAAAAGGCCTAAAAAGAGGTAGGTTTATATTATCCCATCTGTAACATACCTAAATACAAGCCTCCTAAGAGAAATAGCTTTTTAAAATATTTTTATTAGCATATGTTTGCAATGCATGATACATTCATGGTGGGGCATTGATACATATACATATCACATCTTGCTCCTTTTCCCTCCCTTTTCCCTTGAGATAGAGCACTTTATCAAGGCTATATTAGAATTAGAATTTTCCTCCTAAATTTATGCTAGGCATACATCACATAGTAACTTCCTATTACACCAAGTTGGTATGGCCGGTGACTACTGCTCAAGCTCTGCAATACATTGTCCATATTTAAACTGTAGTGGAAAAATCAACTACCACATATTGCTTTCAAATACCAGTATCAATGCTTTTGAAACTGACTATGTTTGAGTGCTAATAACTGTGATTTTTAAAGTTGATAGGAACTACCATTTAACCTGCCTTTAGCTTTCAAACAGGTTTAATTCAACCAACAGTAATGACTTCCAAAAATATAGCTCATACATTTTCTAAATCACTGAAGAAAAGCAAATAGCCCAAGTTGCTAAAAACCTTTGAGTCTTGTATAACCCATCTATTAAACCTAGAGAATGAATTAGTGATTATTACATTTCCAATATTGCAACATACAAGACCAAATCCAATGTAAGTTAGGACAAAACAAAAAATGAAAAGAAACACTACATTCCACTGTGTGGTGTTTAAACCGAAGACAGATGGCCTTAATTTGTGGATATGCAAACAATTTCAAGGACTTTCAAGTCAGAGGCAGCCATAATATCATTGATTTTAATTCATATTTTAATATCTCTAAAATTTTCAAGTGAATTGTATATTGAATTACTGATGTTTCTTCTTTAGTGGCACATAAAACCACGGTGTGACTTTCAGGCAAAGTCATCTTAGAGTCACTGAAGTAAGACAAAGTATTAGCTGACATGTACAGAACACCTATGTATCAGTCGGTGAGTGAAGATTATCTCATTTATACCCACACCAACATTCTGAAGTGGTTCAAATCATTTTCGCCCTTTCTACAGCCAAACAAACTAAGAAAGGAGGTCATTTGTCTAAAGTCACAAGTTGGCTCCTGCCCACACTTGGCCACCCACCTCGCTGACTCCACAGAAGGAAGACTTGGGGGCCTGAGAAAGCCAATCATTCCCAGGGCACAAGTTAAAACCTCAGACAAGCATCTTGAAAGTACTTTTTTTTTCTTGGAAATATAAAAGTGAAAATACAGAGCTCTAAATATCGAGAATGGATTAGTTGGAGAATGGATTAATTCTAAGTATTGACGATAGGAAACCACTTTTCTTTTGGTGGGGAGGGTATGGGGAATCAAACTCAGGATCTTGCGCTTGCCGGGCAGGTGCTCCGCCACTGGCAACTACTTATATTCTTACACAAAAACTAAATTATTTCTTTCTATACATTTTGAATTCAATGTATAAGCAACGAACATGTACTGTTCTTTGTTTAAAATGCCCTATTACCACCAGAAAAAATGTAAAACTACATTCCCATCATTACCTGAATTCTGTTTAGATCTTGGTATTAAAATAGCCCCACATAAAACAACACTATCTAATAATCCAGGAGCATTCTACAATACAAAATGACAATAAAATTTATTGGAGCAAGTTCATATATAAACATACTATTCCAAATCCTTGGCAAAAATTCTTGGCACTTTTATAAAGACAAAGAAGGTATACTTCTTTTTCAGAAATACTTTAAATTGTAGCTTTACCTTTTTACATTAAATATATACAAAGCTAATATATTTTTAAAAATTCATGTTGTCTAGTTATTTGTTGCTTACTTTCCCAGTATCCACTTTCCAGTGTCCTCAAATGTCCCCATCCTATGCTCTGGATGGGGCTAAACCCATCAGTAGACACAAAGATGGATCCTACATTGTCCAACCAGCACATCCCATCATCTTAGCCTCAGTGGTTCACTCAAAGATAAAACACTTGACCTAGATTAGGGCAGTCAGACAAGAGGATTAAACTTCCAGGCTTCAAGTCCAGGGCTGAGCGGCTGGAGAAGTGGGCTTTTAATTTTTTTTTTTTTTGCTGGATTTAAAGTTGAAGCAAACAGTCTGAAAGCTGCATGAAGCACAAGACAAGAGATGTCAACAATGGTTCTGAAGTCATAGCACCAAGTAGCAGAAAGGAGCCAGACCCTGGCCATGCCATTGAAACTACTTTAGGATTTTTAAGTTAATTGATTGAATAAAATTCTCCTATTTCGCTAATTTAAGCTAGCTTTTCTAAAAGTATCCAGCTCTTGAAAGATAATAAAAAAGCCAACACTGTAAATGAGAGACAGAATTTAAAATGTGGAACTGGCTGAACAAAGGCAGGGTAGAAGTCATGGAACACTCTCTAACCTAGCCTGACAATTTAACTATTTTCTCTGAGAGCCATATTGTGGCCTGATGTGGCCTCCAAGATAACAAGGAGCATTAAGGAACTCAGTAGGAAAGACTACAGACAAGGAAATGCCCAAGGAGATGTGCCTGCTTCTCAGAGCATTTTTAAGAAGGCCCTAGAAGGAGACAAGGGAAGGAAGAGGAAAATGTGCCTTTGCTAAGAGAGGCTCTTTCTGCTCCAAATCACAAGCCAGGAAGCCAAAAAAGTTGAAGTGAGAGAATAGGAGGAAAAGCCAGAGAAAAGGCTGTGAAGTAGGATAGGCAGAAGAATCCTGGCCCCCAGGTCTCTCCCAAACATTCTTGTTAGGCACTCTAGTCTGAAAATAGAAAACTTTGTTTAGGATGTAACTGTACAGCCTCAGCAAGGAGTAAATTAATGACGTTCAACCACTTCTTTCCAACAGTGCAGAAGGAGAGGCTAAGGGAAAGCCAGGAAACCAAAAGCCATAAATGAAGACAGGCCAAACTCCAGACTTGATAAAATTTCAGGCTTTAATTCCCCTAAAATTGTCCAGAAGTCCACAATAAAGTAAACTTGCTTAAGGTGTCAGATGATTAAAAGAAACTCGTTTGGCTAGGAATAGACTGTGATGGCCCAGTCCCCAGACCCTAACTCACTTCAGCAAGAAGTGGCCTACTAATGTCATGCTGCCCCTAAGACAGACAGCCTGCTATGGTGCTATGATGGTAACTATGATGCTACCAGGGAGCCAAATCAACATAAAGGCCATTAATTCCCTCCCCCAGGGAGTTTGTGAACACCACATGCCACATTCAGTGGGGAGATAGAAAGAAAACAGCAAGACCATGAGCTTCAGAGAACTCCCATACCAAGAACAGAGACAGAAAATAAAACTGACTGGACAGTTAGACAGATGACAGACGAACAACCAAATGAAAACATCGTGACATGAGGAGCACTGCACAAACACAACAGGCTACCTAAGAGCTTGGAGCACTGGGGGAGGGAGAGGGAGGGGTTCCACAAGTGACACTTACGAGACATAATGACAGGAAGAAGCCCCAGAAAAACCTAGAAGAAGAGAATTAGAGCATTTTACCAAACAGAGAAAAGGAAAAGAAGGAATACTTAAATGTGAAAGCATTAAAGCAGGTACAATTGTGCCTGCCATGTTTACAGAGCAGGGTGGCAGTACCCTAGAGAATAAGGCAGAATGGCCATGAAGGCAGCTGGCAGGATCATGGAGGAATCTGATTTTAACCTTAGTGGGGAATCACAGAAGGGTTTTCAGGAAGGGAATAACATGATTTATGCTTTGGAAAGATGCTGAGCAAATCAATAGATTACTGGCTGCCTGGGCCCTAAGGGAGGAGAGCCTTGTGGTGGCTGCAGTTCTGCATCCCCACTGTGGCAGTTACATGAATTGGAACATGTGATAAACTCCACAGGACCCTACACACACACACACACACACACACACACACAGCACATATATACCTGGTAAAATCTAAACTAGTTCTATGGTTTAAACCAATGATGATTGCCAATTTTCTAGTTTTGATATGATGACATAGTTATACACAATGCCAAAAATGGGGAAGAAAAATAAATTTTAAAATATTAATGAAAGAAGCTGAGTGAAAGGGTACACAGGCCCTCCCTATACACCTCTCTCCAACCTTCTATGAATCTATAATTACTTCAAATCAAGATTTATTTTTAAAATAAGGCTGCATTTAAGGCAAAGATTAGAAAGGAAAAAACAAAATTAGAAGAACCCTCATGTGACACCAAGTCACACCCTCTGAAAGGGTTAAAATGAAAAGGAAAGATTTTTTTTTCTAATTCTGTGTGGTATGTTATTGGTATTTTAGAAAGAAAACACCAAAACTGGGAAAAATCTGGAGCAACTGGAACTCTCATACACTGCTGAAGGGAATGGAACTTGGTAAAACCACCTACAGAAAGGGTTTGACAAAAGTTTTGTTAACACTGAAACATGCTTACTCTATACCTACCCAGGAATTCTATTCCTAAGGCTATTAC